TGAAGATGAGCATTTGCTCTTCGACTCCTTCAACTTCGACGCTGGCTTGATCTCCTACCTTGTAGTAATGTAGTAGGTTATGTGTATGAATGAATGTATGGTAAATAACTACTTCTTCTTTATAAGGACTCCCCAAGATCACAGGGGGAAATGGATGTGATTTTGAGCGTTAGCTTTAAAATAACAGCGGAAATCGAGATAAGAAAACATAAGCTTATGTTTTGCGTCCTACTTAGCGGAGGAGTTGTGTCGGCTTTGTATCGCATGTGCTCTTTCATTGCCATGAGATGTGTTTGCATTGTTTTTTACTGTCAGTAGCCTGGTTTCAGTAGGCCTTAATTTCATCCGATTGCTTCGAGTCGTTTTTTCAATCGGTCAAGTATGGCTCGATCGTTTGCCGGCGGAAGTTCCATGGAAAAGGCATTAAATTTGAGACTTTTCACCAAATCATGTAATCATCCTCCATTGCGTAGTGGCTATGTGAGGTCGGGTCAACTCGAAGGTACCGGGTTCAAATTCTGCTAACGACCTTCTTTTTCCCTTCTTCCTTTTTTTTTTTTCTTTTTTGTTTTGTTTTGTTTGCTTATTTGTTTTGCTGTTTTCTTTTTGTTTTTTTGTTTTTAAGTATATACCTAAATAACTGTTAATAAAGTGCAATAAACAGCAAGAAAAGTATTGTGTTCCGGAACAAGGAAAGTATATTTATAATCTGAATTTCGATCATTTCCTAAAATTTACTGTGGGAAAATCAGGGGTGATATCTAATGTATTATTTTCTAAACAACGTACCCACGAGTTGACGATAGTCTTTCTTTGATTCATAACGTGATAACACGAATCAGCCAGTCAGTGACGGGGATGTAACGAAGCAAATGGGTCGTGGACCTGTTGTACGTTCTAGAAAAGATGAAAGCGAACAAGCAAAAGAGGAGGGGGAAATCTGGAAAGGGGTGGAACAAGACCATGACTTTTTTTATGCCCTAACTCGACACCAATGGAAGTCAGAGAAGCGATGAGAATTCGCTTGACTTATTTTTTAGTTAAAGTAATGAACGTACGTTGAAAAAATATTTGGACTTGCTTTTAACTGTTTTTGTCATCTCCTTATAGCATTACACTCGTGCAGTATTTCCTGTTTGGATGCTCAATAGTACCAGTCCCTCTCAACATGGTGTAGCACAGTTCTGTGTGCCAGCGGTTTTGTACGTTGCTCAGAACGAGTGGGTCACGGACGGTAAGGGGCTTGTTTTTAAGTCAATTGTACTTCTCTATATTTGTTTAACTTTTGTTTATTTGTTTGTTTTCTATTAGAAAGTCTCCAAGTCATCAAAAAATGCTTACCTGCTTTTCTCTTGCCAGTGTAATTTGTAGCCCTTTTTCCTGAAAACCCATAATACGAGAGGCTGTGAAATGTTGCAAAAAATAATTCCATTTTTTGTTTGTTTCTTTTAGAATTTCAAGTCTTGTGCCTGAAACTCTCATTAACCTTGTCTTATTTTTTGATACTGAAGAGCTGGTCGGTCAGACCGATCATTTTAAAATGAAATAGGTTTTCTCGAGAGTTTTTGCTAAAAACCCCCATTGCTACGCATACTACTTAGGAAAAGACAGGTGTGAGTAGTGAATCATAGTAGTACCCTAACCTCGTATTGGTTTCTGGCAATACTGAAACTCTCGTCACGAATGGATGTGTCTGGTCTGCTAGTTCTAAAACAATGTTAAGCGCCGGAATCCCCCCCGCCCCCTCCCACGGAAAACCTTGGTGCGGTTTTAAAAAATAAATAATAATAATAATGATAATAAAATAACCCTCCGAGTAGTCATTTCTTGTGTTTGTTCTCTTTGGCAGTCGAGAAAGCTGAAAAGCTGAACTTTCCGTCATAGCTATTATTTTCCTGTTCATTAGGGTTTAACTTCACTATTCAAGTAAAGCCTATGGAAAACAGCCCTGTCGTCTCTTTTTATTAGTCGAGTTTTTATTTTTACATTTCAATTCATTTGTTATTTTATGCAGATTCCTCTCAAAAGTTGGACTGCAGTTACAGTGTGAGTCAATGTATGAAAGCTTCTGACATCCTGACACCAAACTACGTCGAGTTCCTTTCCAACCAAGCCACCAGCTAACAAACACTCGGTAGCTAGAACAGCGCCCGCCTGGCGGGATCGCCACGTCAGCGCCGCATTGAAAGTTTGCACATCAGCGCCGAGAATGGGGAGAGACGCTTTGAACTCCCGCCTGCCCGAAGACTAGTGTTTTGAATGTTTTGCTCACTGTACAGACGGAAATGTTTGGTTGGGTATGAACAGAAACACGTCAATCAAATGCTACTTGGGAGCTCACACGTCTCCCATGGTAAACGAAGCAAACCGTAACATTTCTAAACTGCACGGTTGTTCCACTACAACTGCAACATAGCCATTTCGCTAAAACGTTCATAATTTCGGGCTCTGTAAGTGAATTTGGCTGACAAATTATGCTACCTTTATCTGTGTAGTTTTATGACAGAGTATTGGTGTCAACTAAGGGCCTGTTTACATGGAGGTGGGGGACCCCAGATAGGTGAGGTAACATGTGGTGGGTCACCCCACCTATCTTGTAAACATCATGAAATTAAAATGAGAGATTATATTGAAAGGCAGGTTACTCCACCTAAGCGGGTTACCTCACCTAGCAGGGGTCCCCCACCTCCATGTAAACAGGCCCTTTTGCAGGACATCAGTCACGTGGTGCAAAACCTCCAAGCTGGTATGCGAGAAACGCAACTTGGACAAGGCAAACAAAGACTTCACATCACTTGAATTGATAACTTCTTTTAATGGTGTTGACCCTTCCTTTCTTTGTCGGTTTGTACCACGTGACCTGTGATATGACAGCGTAAAAAGTCATGTTGTAGGTACTAAGCTCTGATACAAACAATGATTTTAGAAGGAATAACAACTCATAGCACTCAATCTCAGTGCTTGAACGTTACGTCGAATCTTTCTCCAAGGGGTAAAGGTTATTTATGGATTATCAAAAACGGCGCTCTAAAAGAAATTAAGAAATCTATACAGAAATAATTGTACTACAAAACAAGCAGTGTTTGTAAAAGTCTTTAGAGCATAGACAAAGCCTTTTTTCTTGTTGTTTATGTATTTATTTATTTTTGAATATGAAATTATGTATTTTCTTAAAACCTGGAATAAAAAGTGTTCTTATTTAACAGACTGTTTATTAATATTGTTATTGCTGTTGTTGATGTTGTTGGTTTTTACTCGTTATATTCGTTTTATTACGTTCCTTCATATTTATGACAACTTACGAAAATTGACAGTGGAAGAGAGTAGACGGCAAACCTTTTGTGACACGCTTGACAATGATTACGCTTAAAAGCATTTTCTACCAAACTACCCCTTTCTTTCAAAATACCAGGGGCCCGATTCTCGAAAGTCCTGGTAACTTTTCGGGCCCGAAATTTAATATTCAAATCAAAATCTGAGGAATAAAAGCGCAGGTTCTAACTGACAAAACAGGCCATTTTGTTTTGTTAACTGATAGTTTTATCATGCTTTTCTGCAAAACTTCAAAACCTCTATCTGGTAGGTAAACAACAACAGCTTTCCGGGCAAGTTAACTATCAGGACTTTCAAAAAAAGGGCCCCTGAACACAGTAATGTTACGCAAGAGAATCACAGCAAAAAGTAATAGCTCTGTCAAATTTGTCTCACGCACACTTAATGCCGTCCTCTTCTTTCTGCTGTCCTGTTGCGTAAGCTCATTAATGTTGTGAAGAATAAAGTTTCTTTTGGCTGGGTTAACAGATATTTTTCTTTTATTATCTTATTGCCTTCTTTAATCATCGTACTCTAATACAAATTTTTTTCCCATTATTGATTGATTACTGAAAATTGACTACTATCAACTGTCCTTTTTTCTCCTTTCCGTTTGGGCTGGGAATTTTTATACACTAACGACGTGCGCTGAGCTGGAAAACATATTATTGCCAATAATAATGACCAGTTCTCTCATTTGACTTTTAAGCACTGCCATTTCACGACTGAGGTCCTGGTACCGAGCTGGGCTGCCAAGCTTATTCCCATGAAGGAACTGGGGCGGAAATGAAGAAGTACCGTTTAAGTAGGCTTCCTATTGTGAGAAATAGAGAAAATAAGCTAAAATAGTGATAACTGATAAGATCTTAAAGTTATTAAGATGGCATACGATGATTTGGAATTTTCACAGCAGTCGTTCATCTTTTTCACTTCTTGAGAGGGGACTCATTTAAAGGAATTAAAATGCCTGTTGATAAATCATATTTACAACACATCGAGGGACAAGAAAAGTCTTAACCTGGATTAAAAACTGGAGCGTCGTGAGCCTGAAACCAACGGGCAAAGCGTGGGAAAGACACGATTTAATTTGGTGTAACATGTCATTGGCGCATCTCTTGTTTGTATTATTTAGACATTGAGTTTCTAGACAATGATGTGAGCCTATAACGTGTCATAGCAATAAACAGATTTTTGCCCCATTACTGGTCATGTGACGGTTTCAAGGAAATTTGCTTTTAGCCTTTTTTTCATAGGTACGCAAATGAGACAAAATTTGAAAACAGTTTCCAGATTACGTGGTCTCGCTCTTAAAACTGGAAAACAAACGATCAAAGTCGAAGAGGAGTCCTAAAAACTACTTTAAGCGCCAGTTGACACTGGCATTGAAGGAGTTCTTAACTGAAGTTTAAGCTTTGGGATATGAATTACTTACCGCCACATCCATACCAATAATGAGACCTGACAAGAGGCGAACACCATCCTTCAAGCACAGATCAGACTGTGGACCAGTCATGACACTTGGAATTTGACTAAACAATAAAGAGTAGATTTTGATATGATTCAAGTCATAAGTCAACCTCTGCAATACCTGAAGGAGAATAAAGATCCATGATCAGTAATCTCTACTATACTACTATACCTTCGTAAGTTTAGGTGGAATGTGATCGTTCGGCCGAGCAAAGCCCTGAATAGGACTGTTGTTAACAGTGATCGTGACTGACGTTTTGGACAACCTGTCCAGTAGTCGTCTTCAGATTCAAAGTGAGTTGTATCAGGTCATTTGATGGCATTAATCTCTGGTTATTGACCGCTTTGGTCAATTAATTTGCAATGTTATTGGTCGTCTGTCAAGTAAGCCGTGGTGTTATTGGTTGTGACTGAAGACTCTAAATGTGATTGGTGCGTTTCACGGATCTATCTTCTGTCAAAGTTATAAGGTGCCTTAACCGACGCTTCCACTGTTTTACTTAGCAACTTTGAGGTATCTTTCATTGTCTTAAAACACTGCACTCACCGTCACTCCTGAAGAGGCTGAAATGTAGGAGCTTCCCATTGATCTGTTGAAAGGGATAGATGCCTGGGATGAAAAATACAGCACACTGTAAGTTAGTGATCGGAGACTAGCGAAAGTATCCTAGTAGAAAGTATCCCACTGCAATCCAACTGAAACAAAATTTAGTACTGAGCAAAAGAGAAGAAAAATATATTAGATTTTCCGCAAACATCTGATAGCCTGCAAGTACACGATCTTGGCCTGGCTTTTGCAACTGATGATCCGATCAAATGGTAAAACTTGACGATAGTTATAATTTGAGGCAAGAAGAAAATTTACATGAGCTACTAGCTATAGGCTATAGCTCATAGCTGGTGTAAATTTTCTTGATTCGTGCCCTCAAAATAGAACTATCCAAGTTTTTGTACTTGTTTATTTATTATATGCATACTGAGAAATACTCACCAAAAATCTGTGTCGTAAATTTTCATACGCAAATGAGTTCTAGCCAATCAGAGGAGCGAACGATGGTTTTCACGAGTGAAAAAAAGTGATACGACCAATCAGAGGCGACAAAGGTGTGTGAGTTTCGCGCCAAAATTCCCCCCTTTATAGGCGCTTGCAGCTTGCAGCGCCGCTTCGCAGACATTTTCCTCGAAGAGTTTTTCTCGTAAAAAAAGGGAAAAACATCTCGGAAATTGGAGTTTGTTCAGAAGTTTGTTTCACTGTCGATGAAGAAAACTGTACAGAGCCGGCTAGACAATAGCAGAAGGGAAAAACAGAACGATACGTAAGCTTAAGCGTAAATTCATTTATTTTCAATGGCACATTCAGGTTAAACAGTTAAGATTACTTGGGGCGCTTTCCACTCAACCCAAAATTCCGGAAATTTCGGTTGGTACATCAAAAGGAACGGACCATTCTGGTTCGGTTCGACCAGAATCAGTTCGAGACCAGCATTGAAGGTGGTCCACTTTGACCGGTCTGGTAGTTTCGGTCGGTCGGACCGAACGTCCCTTTCCATTTGTCCCCAGTACTCTTCTTTGGTATACTGCTTACAAGAACAATAACTAAACGCGCGATGGCTTGGGTCTGGTTTGAGCAACCGGAAGTACCGTTCCATTGGGCACAAGAAATGTCCGAAATTTCCAGCCGGAATTTTTGTTGAATGGAAAGCGCCCATGTAGTTCTTGGATTACTTCATATCCTTACCCTCATTATATTTTAACCAACGTTTTTACTAATACATAGCTGATACTTCGATTTCGTTGTCATTTCACGGTGTGTACTAGCGGCAAAATTTAGCATTTTGGAAAGATTTGAAATAAAAAGGCCGCCAAGATGATGAACGTCTCAGTATGTATATAATAAACACAATACCACATGGAAAGTGCCTCATTGTTTATGTAATAGAAATCTCCCTTGTTCGCTGCGCTCACTCGTTCGATTTCTGATTCGTCAACGACTCGTGCGTTAATAGCGCACGCTCACAATTGCCGTAAAGTATTCTCTATATATAATTCACTTACAAACTTTTCCAAAGTTGTGTTGAGATGTGTCGTCAGGTTTGTACACCATTCATTAAGAACCTGAACAGTTGACACGGTTTGACCACCTTGTATCGATCCCACAGCTGAAAGGCCGACAATGGACCTACGACTCCTCAAAGTCGCTGAGTGGGTGTTTTGGCAGAGAAGAAATGTTGTCAAAAACACAATGGCGAATGCTTTGAGGTTCATTTTTTCTGTAAAGGGACACAAACGACCAATGATCAGCAAGTCAGTGATGAATCAAACAATACTTCGTTGATGAGTAACTGAATGCAATTGTAGCGGGCAACAAATCAATCAATTAATCAATCAACCATGTTTTGGTTCAATTCTGCGCTGAAGTCATTACTTAGTGCTCTTATCCGTACACAAAATGCTTCTGTAGAGGTATTTAACAATTATTCCTCGAGCCAGAATGGGCCTTGGGCCTCATGGGCTAATGACTCAGAGGCCATGAGGGCGAGAGGAATAATTGTTTTAGTAAAATCCAACTAGTTGGTCAAAAATATCGAGACAAAACAACTTTAGCTAGTTAAAGTTAGACTTAAATTATTTTTTGCCGCCAAAAAGCCGGCGATTTTCACTACTAGTGCGCTATAACATACAGCGTAGTAATATCTCAACCAATAAGAACGCAGCATTAATAAGTTGGATTTTCCAAAGAGTAGATATCAAACAAATTTCATCAGGAAGCACTAACCATAATAATTGTTTTGGGGATTTTTACGGGCATAGCATTACAACTTGAAAACGTTGGCTCATCCTTTTAAAGTTTCAATCCTTGTCCATCCTTGACATCCTTTGCAACAGACGACAGGAAACAGTTTCAATGTCTGAATTATAGTCTTGAATAACAAAAGTAGGAGTTATCTTTGAAACGAGGAAAGGGGAATCGCGAATCGTGGAATAGGAATGGGGAACGGGAAACGGGGAGTCTCTAAAAGCCGTAATCTTTAAAATGGGGAATCTTTAAAAAGCGGGAATTTTTAAACTGGGGAATTTTTAAAAGCGGGAATCTTTAAAACGAGGAATCTTTAAGAGCGGGAAATCTTCCCCGTTTTAATGATTTCTGCTTTTAAAGATTCCTCATGTTAAATATTCTCGCTTTTAAAGAATCCCCCGTTTTAAAGATTTCCGCTTTTAAAGATTCCCCGTTTTCAAGATTTGTTCCCGCTTTTAAAGATTCTCTGTATTAAAGATTCCCTCTTTTAAAGATTCCACCATTTTAAAGATTTCCCTTCCCCGTTCCCCATTCCCATTCCCCGATTCGCTAATTTCCCGTTCTTTGTTTCAAGGATATCCCAAAACTGGGTCGTTATTTTTGGAATTCAATTGATGCGAAAAAAGTTTCAGCTTCTTCAAAAGATAGCAAATAGCGACATACGCCCTTTAATCAAGTTCAATGTAAAATCGACGACTTATATCGATTAATCGATCGATCAATCAACCAATCAGTCCGCCATTCATCATTCTGACAAACCCAATCAGCCAATCAATTAGCCAGGTGATCAATGGAGACTGAATTTTGAACGTGATCGCTAATCTATTGACCGATCGATTCTGTGTGTTTCTTTATAGGTCTCAGCAGAAGTCTGATTTAAATATATAGCAATTTTGTCAACCACGCCGCGTCGGCTGCAAGCAAAAATTGGTTTCCAGTTCAAACTAAGTTTTGCAATTTTTACATCCGCTTGAGCTAAAACTTTTCAGGAAAATATCCCTCGGTATTCCCAACAATGGTATGTTTTTGGATTTTCAACTTAAACGGTTTTTGGCGGTAAAATTATGTCATAAATTAGACAGCAAAATATAGTTTTCGACTTTTAAAACAAGTAATCCGGGTTTCTGTTTCTTTTTTTCAAAAGTATTTTTTCGGATAATTTTCTCTATTTTAACTAGACCATCCTCTCATCAAATTGTAGACCAAAAAAATAAACAGAATTTGCCTTTTGGCTGTCACAATTGATATTCAGGTAAATTTCGCATTTACCTTAGGTTAGTTTACCTATCTTTGAGCAGCCCGGCCCCGGTGTTTTAGAATACCTAAACTGCTGGTCCAAACTACTGGGGCTTACTAGTTTTGACATCAGTGTATTTTTCTGATTTGTTTTGCTAATCAGAAGTATTTTCTCCTACATAAGTTACGTCCAAAGATGTTAAGAATTCTAGGATCATGAAGTTGAAACTATACGTAAAAATTTCCTTACCTTGGTTGCTCTGGGTGTGAAAAAATATAGAAAATTATACTGCCGTCGAGTTTCTAAGTATTGCGTGAACTGAGTGTACCTTATAATTCTCACGGCTATTGAGCGATATTTATAAGGCTGTTATGTTTAGCTAATTGGTGAAATCACCGCTTCAAATTTAGAGAAGTGATAGGCAAATGGGAGAATTTTTGTATCAGACTGAATGTAACAAGAAGTAGGATATATTGCATTTGTGTACGCAGTTATATTTGCTTCAGGAAAGCATTCCCGTCTTTTGCTTGCTTATGGTAATTCAAAACCACCTTTAAGTGGAAATCAAGGAAATTCTGAAATCGATGGAGCTAGGAGGGGGGGGGGGGGGGGGGGGGGGGGGGGGCGTTTTGTATTTTTTAGGGTTTGGCACGGGGTTTTTTTTTTTAAAAGGGGGTTTTAAAAGTGTACTTTTTTTGAAATATAATCCCTTAATTTTTTTTTTAAAAAAAGGGGATTGAATATGATTATGTATTATAATAGAACAAAGGTTACATTGGTTCAAGGGTAGAAGAGAATAAATCAAGAGGTGTGGCTGAAGTGTGGGTGGGGAAGGGAGGGGAGGGAGGGGGGGGGGGGGGAGGGGGGAACTGTTGGGGTGTGCACTTTGTACTTTGTAAGAGTTCGTCCACGGCATTTTCTATTCAAAAGGCGATTACTAAGGTTAACTTATACTGAATATTAATCCAGTCATTCTGTTTGAACAAAACGGGATATGAATTGGCGGGGATAAATGGTTAATATTGCAAACTGACTACCGTGATCGCAAACAACTTCCTTTCTCTTAATGTCGGGCATGGAAAAATTGACCCTTGAATTTACACTTCCGTGATTTTTTTAGAAAATTGTTAGTTCAAAAAAAATATATATCTTCAAATCTACTGTTTATTAAGCTAAGCGGCAGTAAATTAAGTTTAACAAGTGCTTATTAAATGAAAAACTCTGTTACCACAATGAAATAATTGTCCTTTGAATCACTTTTCAGTACTATCTCTGCTTTTCCAACGATTTTTGAATACAATTTATCAAGATCGTTACATCTTTGTTTTTTCATGACTGATCAGCTGAAATACGATTAAAATGACAAAAGTCGGAATAATAAAGTAAGAACGATTAAATCGATATACTGTAATACCGGTTGAATTTGAGAAGTAATTATTGCTGTTACAGGTGTCTATCGATCATCATGGATTAAACTGGTCAAAATTTGCTGAGTGTCAAATGAGAATCTTTAGGGAAAATATTTGTTGCTTCCAAGGTTCTTTTTTATTCATCACATGATAGCATTGACGTAAGAAGTGGCCGAGATCTAACTCAGCATCTTCGATCGAGGCGTTTTCGTGACATAGGACAGAACAGCGTTTTCACTTACAAAATAATTGATCTGAATTAAAATTATAATATAAAGATAATGAATGTGACGCAACAGATTATTTTTGATTTTAAAGTTCCGGGAAAAATGTAACTCCACCATAAGAGACAAAATGGACTAAAGGTTGACAAATAACTGAACTCTGGGCTTTAAAGCTCAGATGCCAAAAAATTAGAGATGAAGCTTGTTATAATACTTAATTTGTGAGGATAGGCAGAACTATGATAAAAGCAGTTGATTAAAAAACACCAACACCAACAAACAAAAAAACACATCCACTGCTCACTTCAATATCCTTTGATTTTTCTACATATTCTTGTTTTGTGTCGGTTGATGTTTGAAACTAACCGCATGTGGCTGGTTAAAAGTCTCGTCAGAAAAACTAATATTATCAAAAACAGTGACAACACCCGAAAATGAGCAATTAAAATCAAGAAGGAACGTTACAAACTCCCGCGGAAAGGCCGTTTTAAGTTTTTGCTTTCCATGCAGTTTTACAATCCACGTTAATTCAAAGTTAATGAGAACAATATTTTATTCCCACAACAAATTCACAAACTATATATTCCACAATTCTCCCGATATATTATATTTTAGCTTAGCTTAGCTTGAAAGGAAATTCAGTTGAAAGAAATCGGTTAAGTTCCTTCGAATTCCGTTGAATACAGCGGAATCCGGAGGACCGGAAGTACAAATTTTAGTAACGTACTTAAGATTATCTTTTTCAGTTTAAATCACAGTTAACGAATTATTCCTGACATCGCCATGCTATTGCACTTTCTTTCAAGAAGATTTCAGTGATCAGTGAAAATACCAAATCAGTGACGCTCTTCATTGTTCATTTAAATTTTGATTTGTAATACGACCCGATAGTTTAACGAGTATAATATTACAACGAGAAGCGTCAAATTACAATTTTATAGTTTTGTAATTTGATCAGTACTGAAACTGTCGTAAGATGTCAGTGGGGTGGTTTTCCTGACGAAAAAAAATCGAAAACCAGGGATAAAATCAGGCTTAATAATTAAGACAAAATAAAATAAATTCTACTTTAAAAAGCGTTTAAGTCACGACATCCGCTAGTGTCTACATTTAGAGACACGTAAATTTTTCAACTGTTTATGCTGCATATTTCAGTGAAATGGGCTTAAGAAGCAATGATAACTCTCTTTTAACTGGTAGCATTGCTAAAATTTGGATATGATAGAGGGTCATAGAGGAAATTGTAAAAAACAGGAAAAGCGCGAGAAAAAATGTTTACTTTATATTTAAAGTATAAAGTGGATGACTGGTAAGGGGTTATTTTATTTTTAATTGTGACAATATAAAATTGGGGAAATTTGAGATTTTCCAAATTCCCTAGCATTGTTGCGGAGAGACAATTTAACCCGGCGTTTTAATGCGTGTGGTCCATTCAGTGAGAGATACAAGAAAACGAACCCCAGAATCTTTGTGAAAGCAGAATGAAGACTTCAAATCCCGGTAAGTGCCTTGATTCTTTAATACTCAGTCATCAAGTTACTAACTCTCTAATTGATCAATGAAGGTTAAATTTCATTTAATATTGAAAACAAAATTACAGGGTCGGACTACATTAAGTTCTGATGAACTCAAACTGTAACACGAAGTATTTGTTACTGACAGTGCCTTTCAATCAATAATTAAGGAACCATGAGTAGTGGTTAATGTGTTGAAAATTGAACACCTTTTTTTACCTTGCATTATTGAGTTATCAGAAAACAATTCATAAGGAGAAAGGCTCACTGAAATATAAAGAACCAACTTCAACTTAAAAATTGAAAAACTAGTCAAGAGTACTTCTATACTTAGGCAGGTAAAAGGCGGCGTTGCAGTATTGCATCTGGGAATAAAACTCAAATATGGCAAATTTATTATAATTGTCATTATTACTTTTTACCAACCAAACAATGTATGATGGTATATTATGTTCTTCTTTTTTTTCCCCAGGTTTTTACGCTATGATGATTTTCGTCGTCTGGACAGCTCTTCCTCTGTTCTCCAGTGGTGGAAATGCCTCGTCAGTATGCGTGCCGGCTTCGCTCCTACGTGTATCTCCAGAACTTATAAAAAACTTTACTTATTCCTATGTCATTCAACTCTCAAAGACTGTTGTTGAAACACAAGCAAACTTTGTAAGTGAAATTAATAGTTTAAAATAACCCTCACTCGGCTACTCAGCAGCAAATGCCCAGATCGATAGTCCCCTTGATCTTATTTGCTGAATCAGTAATGCCTTATTCCAACCGACTTTTTGTTCTTCTCTCCCACTCTGTTATTAAGTCAAAGGCTTTGTTAAGCTGTTGTTAAAGAGTGAATCATCTTATATTTGGCGTGTTGGGGAATAAAAGTATCAGAGAACCTAAACTGAAGAAAGTACACGGAAGTTTATGCTCAACAGTCAACTGCGAAACTGCTTAACCGCCTTACCCTTGAAAATGATGAGTAGCTTCTCCACCCTTGCCGTTTTAAAATTTGGAAACAAAAATGTCAGAGTTATGTTGCTTTATTTCGCCCTTTTTTTATAAAATAAGAAAGATTCGAAGTGCTATCACTCGTTTCAAATTAAAAACCGCTTACTGCTGAAATATTTATCGGTAGCACTAGCTGAAACCACCTTAAGAGATCATGGCAGCGACCCTTAAGAATTTTAGCGTTTATTTATAATCTTGTTAATTTTTATGATTTTTAGGATTCAATATCCTCGTCTTAAACGTTCAATGTGATTCAATTTATCTCTGTCTAATAATACTTTGTCCCGTTTTGTTTTCAGGCCCAGGTTCGTCTTGGTGACAGAGATTACGACGAATATCTGCGCCGAATTCCACTACTACCTCGACCAATACACCAACCAGAAAAGATACCGGTAAGTACCGGTAATCTTTTACATAAGTTAGAAATGTTGAAGGTCGCTTGTGCTTAAAAATAGGATTATGTCTTCGGCAACAATTGTAGATAACAAGGCCGAAAATTACAAACTTGAAAAACTTTGACATGAAACCAGTTAAATTTTTTATCAAAAGTTAAGATATTGCTTCAGCTTTTGGTTTAAGATCAATAATCGCTAATCCTTAGACCGTTAATTTTAATTCCAACGAGCAGAGGTTTGGCTGCTCTAGTGGAAGCTTTCTAACTTGACATTAATCAGGATCATATATTTTGGTTGGCAAACACACATCATGCTCTATCAGCGATAGCAGCTCTTGTGATCTTTTCTCCCTAAGTTAATTAAGCTCACACAAGTTTTGTCCTTGCATCAATCCTTTGTATATTCAGACAGTGCACCAGTTACTCCTTGTTGTAATTGTAACAGGATCATTTTTTAAAGGGTTAAAGAATTCATCCGAAAGGGATACAGAACGACATTAAACCTAAAAATAGGATAGATGCAAGACAGTCCACGACTTTCATTTTGAGTATGCAAATTTTCGACTAAGGGCTTTTATGATCCATTCAACCATAAAAAGTAAATACCACCAAAAGAACAGATTTCTTGGAATCGAAGATGGAAAGTGTGTTTCCGGTATTAAATACACAGCGAATGAAGTTATGAAACATCTGATTTTATTTATTTGTCTTTTTATTTAATACATGTTTTTCTTTTAGGAAGAAACGCTCCTTCAGATGGAAATAAAAGATCTCCTCACCTTTAAAGAATTTATCAAGGAGATGAAAACTCACGAGAAGAAGGACAGTTTATTTTTGGCCAAGTTCGAAACCATTGATGGAAAAATCAACAGGTTAATTGGCAGCCTTCGGGATCTGGTACGTGAATCAGAATAGTAAATTACTAGTTAATACTACTTAAGGCCAGCAAAAGCGGTTGCAATCAGTGGTTTCATTCATTTAGTCGATTTATCAAGATGTCAGTTATTGTATGAGTTTAACGTAACCCTTACTAGTATGTGATTGCTGCCTTGTTCTCGTCCTATCTGTCATTATTGTAAACGCATTTGTACATGTCTTTATGAACACAGAGGCTGTTTATTTTTCCTCAAATCTTTTAAGGGAGTTGCTGGACATTCAGATATGTTTTCTTTCCTGCCCTATATAATACTATAATACTATTATGAAAACCGAAGACTACGTCATACTGATAATAAAGTTTTTACCATACTTTCCTTATCTCTCATACAAACTGTTCTTTTTTCTTTCTTTGCATAGGAAAACTGTCGTGGTTATCAAGTCACGTATCAAGGTGCCTCTGTCCAGCCCACCCTCAAACCTACCGCCACACAGAAAGAACAGGACAAATGGGAACTGGGGGTGATGAGAGAATTGTGGCATTGGTTGATACCAGTACAAGGAGAACTTTACAAGCAGTTGAACCACAAATACTAGACTCGAGTCCCTCCCTTGCCTCGGAGAATTTAGAAACATCAAGAGAGCAAAGCCAAAGAGTTTTTCTTTCGTACATTGTATCAATGAAGTTTGTAACGTAGAGCTTAGTGCTCATTCTAGTCAGATTTCGGATTAGTTTTTAATCTCACGTAGTCTCGTAAGTTGCTAAAATCAGGAATTGCTGTATCAGTTAAAAAAGCCAAAAAAAATTGGAAAAGTAGAAGTTAATATAAAAGAATAAGTTTTTACAGTATTTCGGAAAGGTTTTTTACTCACATATATGTGCAAACTGTAGTAAAGTATAAATAAATAAAAAAAAAAAAACTTGATTCTTTATTTTTATAATCTTTTGAGTGGTCACTTTAATTTTCTCTCCCTTTTGCGTGAGATGTAAAATACATATATTTTACTGCCACAACTTCAATTCGTTTTAAAAGGATCGCCGACCTTTTTCCATGGTAAATTTAAGGGTCTGACTATAATGTAAGACTTTTTAAGTCGTGTAAAACAACAGCTGAATTAGCGGCGAGACAACGACCTTTTTTTACATGAAAGGCTGGATATGAACCGAGGCGTTTCTTGATTTTGGGGAAAAACGTGTACTTCTATATTAATATTTTGAAAGAAAAAGAATCATAAAAAAGACTTATTTTAGATTATTTGACTGCACTCGCCGATATAGCCTGTTTACCCCCCTCCCCTCAGAAACAAAAAAAAAATTCGAGGGGAGGGGTGGGGGGAGGGTTTGTATACAGGCTACCGTCACTTTTTATACTATCATGGTCTGTTCTTGGATAATACGTTAGGTTTCGAAACGGCTGAGAGGCTGCTTAAGTACTTGAAAGATAGTAATACTTGGGAACAATAAATTCTTTCTAACGCAGAATATCAGTTTAATTTCTTATAAAGCAATAATCTTTTGTCGTCCTAACAAGTATAATGAAAGTTGGCTTTCGAACCATTTAAAATTTCCAGGCTGAAACAACAAAAAAAAAAAGAAAAAGAAAAAAAAATTCAACAGGATAGCTAGGGGATTGGGTAGCATTAAAGCGCCTTTTTAATTTGAAAAAGATGACCGATTCTATTGACGTAGGAAAGGACGGAGCGCGTATTAGTGGCGAATGGATGTGTCTGGCCTGCTAGTTCAGCTAGTTCTAAGAAAACGGTAAGCGCCAGAATTCCCCGCCCCTCCCCACGGAAAACCTTGGTGCCGTTTAAAAAAAAAAAAAAATTAATAATAATAATAATAATAATAATAATAATAATAATAATAGTAATAATAATAATGATAATAATTATAGAAGTCGGTCGTCTCAAACACTTTAAACATTGCCAAGATAAATACTTAGTTAGGGTGCTAAGGACTCCAGTTTTTAGGTTTTTTTTCTCTAGAAATCTAGAAACACAAGCTTGCTGATGTTTTTACTTAGACTTTTTAGAACATTAGAGTTTGATATTATTATAAATAAGCTTTTAGTAGAGATAATCACATTAAGATGGCCTCGTTTAGGTATATAAGAGATAATAGGGAACTTAAGCAAAGACGTTTTTGAGCGACGCACGTCGACAGAAAGTGAGGCCTTCTCCCTTCTCATATGCCTTGACGCTAACAAATTTGTATTGCTAAGTTTCTTTTCTCTTATAAAGACGATTTGCCCGAGAGTTTCAACAGAACCACTGCCCAATGATGCAAAAAGTCCACTTCCGGTTGACGTCCGTCGCTCAAAAACGCTGTTGCTTAAGCTCCCTAGTGAGAGTGTAAAAACGGAATAATTTTCTAAATAGGCCTCTATTAGAGATAATCATATCATCATGTCTTAGCGTAAGTTTTACAGAGTAGCAGAATTTAATAATATTCTAAATTGGCTTTTTAAGTAGAGAGATTCATATCATTATGTATTTTAGGATCGTATTAGGTTTCGCATCGACCTTTCTTTACTTCTAAGTATAGCTTCTCAAGTGGTGTAGGTTACGCTATGCGCCCTATACTACTCATAATGTGGACAGCATTTCAAAGTTTCATACTGCGACATTTAACAATTATTCTTTGAAATCGAGGTGAATAGTGGCCAAATATTTACCGAGACGCGAAAGCGGCGAGGTAAATATTTCCAAAGCCACTATTCACCGAGATTGAAAAGAGTAATTGCCCGGGGGGGGGGGGGG